CAGGCGCAAGCCATGTGTCCATGCCCCCCACAGTAGAGGCAGAGGCCACGTTGATCCTTTCTTGCCTTTCGGCGGTGGAGAGTTTCCTGCAATTTGCGGAGAGGTCCATGGGGCCAGAGGCAGTGCTGGTGGCTGTGGAGGTTGGAGGGGGAACAGGAGCGGGGGGACAAGGTGTGGCGGAGGTAGAGGTTCTCCAAGATGTGTAGGAGGAACCTTTCTTTTTGGCAGCCCAGGCACAGACGTTGTTGTCTAGCTGCTTAAGGAGGGAGAGGTAGTCGTTCCAAGCTTCAAGAACCGGGAAAACATCTACCAGGGCATCCTTCAACTCGGTGCTGAGGCCCTGATAGAGGGAGGTGCGTTTGGCGGCGTCATTGCCAAGTGTGTCCACTGCCAGGCATTAGAAGTCAGCAAGATATTCCACGAAGGGCCGATTCTTTTGCTGAAGGCTCCTCAGAGCCCGTTTGGTGGTTTGGGCCCTGTTGGGGTTGCCAAAGGCTTGTTCCAGTTCGGCGTAGAATTCCTCCTTGTTCGCAAAGTCGATGCGGTTATTGGTGACTCGATATGGGACTTGGACGAAGGCACGTCCGCGGAGGAGACCGAAGGCATAACCGAGATAGTGTTGGTCACTGGTGAACCGGTGGGCATCACCCTGGAGCTTCATTCGTAGTTGGGTAAGGAAGGGGCGGAGCTTGTCGGTAGCACCGTCGAATTGTTAGTGGTCGGGTATCGAGACTTGTTTGTTGCCACCAGCAGGAGCTGCGGTACCGGGGGCAGGCATGAGGGCGAGGGCGGTGTTCAGGGACGTGATGGTAGCGTTGGCCTGTGCGGGGTTGACTTCGACGATGAGGAGCCGGGCCTCAACACCTTGGCCTTCGGTACTGGCATCGTCCGGTTCTTGGGCCAGGAGGTTGCACTATTGCTGCAGGTGTTGGTACTGAGGGGTCTGTTCTGGAGGGGCGGGGGTTGTTTGATGAGGAGGAAGAGCAGGTGCATTCAGGATTTGATGAGCCAGATTCCTGGGGAGGTTGAACTGGGCCTGGAGCTGATCATGGTCTAGGCTTCGTGCGTGGTCATCCCCCACATTCGCGAGGGTATGGAGGGGGCCGTTGATGCTATCAGGGAGGTGAGACGTCCCCATGGTTTGCTGTGGGTTGGGTCCTGGTAGACACAATCTTGTGTAATGGGTAGGGTCTGAGGGTTGAGTAGCCCAAGGCACACCACATTTGGGACAGGCAGGATTCTGGAGACGAGGTCTACGTGCTAGGGTACAACCGAAGTGAGTTGTACGAGGTTCGGGGTTCTGGGGTTCAGGGGTAGGGTTCAGAGGTTCAAGGGGACCCCAAAAAGCGGAGGGTGTAATTCGTAGGTACAGGTGTCCAAAGGAGACTACCAGATTGCGTAAAGAAAGTAAAATATAAAGGGGCACACCCATTTATATACTAAGGAAATCCTCCATGATTACCAATACAAAAGAAAGTCCTTGGCGTCACGCGCACCCACAATTCCTCCGTCTGGTTCTGCCATCTTCCGTTGCGTGGCAACGTGTCCCATTCGCCTATACAAAGGAAATTCCACTATGTAACCAAGGAAACCACATCCCATATATGCAATCAAAAACCCATGCATATTCCGTCTCCATAGCCAGGTGGCCGTGACAGGGAGAGAGAAGTTAATGTCACAAACTGTGACTAAGCAAGGCAGATTTCACATAACTTGGAATCACGAGTTATACGTATGTTGGGATTTCATATGACATATGCTACTACGTCATAGGTTATCATGTTTACCTGCTTGTGACACACAGTTATGAGTCACATGATGTTATGATTTCCGCACAATACTCAAGTTATGAGTCATGGGTTTCATTCAGGTGATGCCAGTTGCGCACCTGATTTGGGTTTTATCCTTTGATTGGTTTAAGGCATGTTACACAGTAACTCATAGAAGTCAGCTGATGGATTTCACATGACTCATAGTTATGAGTCACAGGGTTCATGTGACATGCAGTATGAGTTATGTGAGGTGAAGAGCGACTATATAAAGGGTCACTAGGACCCTGAGTATGAGCTCTTCACATTTTCTTCTAGTTTATTTCCTACTCTTATATGTTATCAGAATAAAACCTACTACCTTTATTCTCTTTAATCTTTATATCACCTTAACCAAGAAAACTATCTCTCATCCCATGACCTACGAGTAAGTCCCAGTTGAGGACTTAAGAAGATCAAGGTAATACGGGCGCTGTAACTGGAACTGGAGTTTAGTCCACTCGGTTCAAGGATTTGTTTTTTATCTTTTGTTTTACTTGTGGTTTCGAGTATCCGTTGATACTCAGTTTGTTTTACTTGTGGTTTCGACTATCTATTGATACTCAGTTTGTTTTACTTGTAGTTTCGAGTATCCTTTAATACTCAGTTTGTTTTACTTGTGGTTTCAGGTATCCTTTGATACTCAGTTTGTTTTACTTGTAGTTTCAAGTATCCTTTGATACTCAGTTTGTTTTACTTGTGGTTTCGAGTATCCTTTGATACTTAGTTTGTTTTACTTGTGGTTTCGAGTATCCATTGATACTTAATTTGTTTTGCTTTTGGTTTCGACTATCTATTGATACTCAGTTTGTTTTACTTGTAGTTTCGAGTATGCTTTGATACTCAGTTTGTTTTACGTGTGGTTTCAAGTATCCTTTGATACTCACATTGTTTTACTTGTGGTTTCGAGTATCCTTTGATACTCAGTTTGGTTTATGGTTTTATTGAGGAGGATTTGGAAATCTGTCCATGCAGGACATGGACGAAATCTTGTATTTAAAGACCACTGATTCTCTTAGAGGAACAGCAGACTTCGACAGACAGAGTATTTCTTATATACTTAGTTGAACAGTTACCTCTTCAAGTCCCTATTCTTTATATATTTCTCTTGGAGCCTCTCTTAGCACAGTACGCCCATAGGTTGTAGACCAACTTGTGTGCTACTCCTATTGTACCAGGAAGCATGACTAGTACCCCAGTGCGAACACATGACAGGCGCGATCAGATAGAAGTCAAAGGACTTGACTATCAGTATCGCATAGGCAAAGGCCTGAGAACTATTACTTTATTACCCGATAAGAATCGTTACCTGTTGCACTCCCACGCCCGGTAGGATTCTTAACAAAGATACATTTTTAACTTTAGCTTTTTGTTTAGTCTCAATAGCCTCCAAAATAGCTTAAAACAAATCCTAATCCACTTAATACATCAAGTTCAAGACCTATAAGATCCTACAATTTACTTAAACTAGTATTTTTACAATGATTTTTAATTTTCTTAACCCACTATTCTAATCAAGATGATATTTGAGCTACTCTAGAACAAACTGAGTATACAAGAAGAACCATTCTTTATTATCAAATAAAAACTCCAGATTCTAATTCTCCATATTTAAAAGTACTTTTTAACAAATTTTCAATATGGTATCATTATTATTTGTGTAGATAATCAAATATCCATTTGGTTTTCCAGCGGTTGCCATGGTGAGCCGTATGTGGGTGAAGAGCCATTGCACGGTAAATTACGTTAAGGCTAAGAGACTCCTTAGCCACAGTATCAGAAAAGAAAAGAAAAGTAGAACAATTAGAATGCAGCAGATGTCTGCCGAAAAGGCGCAAAACTTCATCACCGCTGCTTGTTGAAGAAGAAGCACTTAAATTACGTCTAGAAAAGGCAGAAGAGAATTGGAGCACCTTCGATGATCAGGATAAGGATGGAGAGGAGGAAGACAGTGATGATGCTACCCCTTGTCTTGTAATTTGAAAGCAGTTACGCATATTTCTTAAGGGTCAAATTTTCTCTAAACCTTACTCACTGCTGTATGCGGTCAAATTAAGTTGTAAATCAGATCTCGATTTCCATAACTTAACCTTAAAAGGATAGCACATTTGTGTTAGCAGTGATGAGCAACACTTCTCGCTACCCTATCATTCTCGGCACCCTATCAACTGGTCTATCGTTTGGTCGCCCAAATCCAAAACGACGAACAACCACAACCATAGAAAGCATACCGAGCAGCTATGAGTTCCAACATTAGCATGGGGATACAAAAGCAGAAGGGGACACTTGGAGAAGAACGGGTATGTGTGGTGGTTGGGAGGGTCGCAAGGAAGCCGGGAACGCCGGATTCGCAGAGGCTGTGAATAACGGGAAGCATGTCTCTCCTTTGATAGTACGGGAGTACCGGTACGCAAGGGAGAGGGAGACATGTATGGAGAAGAGTGGATATGTGTGGCGATCGATGGAAGTAAAGGGGGATGACCTCATGGTAATTTATACATACTCCTGTCTTCGCCTTTCAGTTACCGGCGCAGGTACTGGTCCCAGGCAAGAGGTATTCGAAAATGCGAGTCGCGAGTTTGTATGGACGTTCAGGTAGGCATGGACCCTTGCCATATTTTGCGAATCCCTCTCTTGTCCCTGATTCCGAATACTTGAGTGCCGTAGAAAGCCTTGAAGTCTGGTAGGCCTCTGATCCCCTGGTTCTGGGTTCAAGGCCTCTGGAGGGGGATTACCGGTAGCGTTTTCCCAGCGCGGTAAGGGGCCAGCCCACTTGACACCTTGGATCTCGCTAACCGGTATTCGCAATTCCATTACCCGGTCAGGATAAACCTATCCCTAGGTAACGGGCCGATCATGGCTGGGTATCATAGTTAGATATTTGTGCGAAGAGAGAACGAGCGAACTACTGTAGAGTTTAGTCTACCTTGAGACCGACACAGAAACGAGCAGGATGCCAAGTTAAAACTCTGAAAAAAAAATTCTTCCTCTTTTCGGCATGGGGATAGATTAGCCGTGGTTCTACCCTTGTTCGACCACCTAGCATATTGATTGGGTCGGGGATCGGTTTGAATGTGAAAAACCCCTCGTATACCTGGCTTGTGTAGTCCTTCAGCAGGTAAGAAACAGGAATTAAACCTTTGGCTTTGGATACGAGAAGGAGATAACAAGCATCTATACTAGGGAACCATGAAGGGGTAACTATAGCTATTTCGAATTCTCTCTATTTATTGTAAGAACCGATCAAGGTATCCAGATTTCTTGCCTCCTTCTCCTACCCAGTCCCACATTTAATCCACTTCCAGAGTGATCCACCATGCCACCCTAAAACTCCTGAATAACCGTAAACTTCTCATTCCCTACCCTCAAGAGCAGAACTTCTCCATCCACTAACCACCCCTCCACAACAGTTGCCCTCCCATCAGAAATCTTCTCGTTCCCCAATCCGATACACATTCCGCCACCTCTGATGATATTCTCCGCAGCATTGCTTGTCTTAACTGCTCCCACCCGCCTAGCAAGTTTGGAGATCATTTCTCCGACGACCTCTGCTCTCGGCATCTTGACGACTCGATCGCCCCACACCTAGATGATTTCCGGTGCGGAAAATCCCTTTCCTCCATCTACTGGAAAGAGGAAATTCGTTACGAATTCCGTTTCCGAGTCCTTCCGTACGCCGTGGACAAGGGCGACGGCTTCTCCTCCTAGGGGGCCTCGGATGGTTCGGGATCAAGGGTTTGTAGTATGAGCCTGCGTGGCCATAGCAATTTCGGGGAGAAGCAGGGTGAACATTCGGGGGTACTTTTGGACGTGCGTATCAGCAAGGGTTGCGAAGAACTTGGGGCTGTCAGTTTAGGGGTTCCTTTCACTTCTACAAAGAGGGTGGATGTACCTGGTAGTGCTCGAGGGGCGTAGTTAGATTCTCGTCGAGCCAGATAGCATTGCCGGCAGAATTGCCAATTTTCTCGCCAAACTCAGAGGTCAGGAGAAGAGATGCTAGACCATAGGCTTCTATGGCACTGAGGGTGGTTTCACTAGAGCCGGGCTGGTATTTAGATATTAAGCCGATCCCTGCTGCGATGCTCCCGAACTGATCACTACCCCAATCTAGCTGATTGTAAGTACTCGCCACTCCCTCTAGAAACGTAGACGTACCTGTAGACGGCAGTTGGCAGCTCGGTACAAGTACCAAAAGTCATAAGACTGCAGTAATTGGTAGGGGAGGTCGGAAAAGTTGATTCCATTCCTAGAGTTCATCCTTTTCTTGACCCTTTACATTGAAATTCTCAGAGATGGGAAGACCACATGGGTGGGCATTTAACCAACCTCTCTCGAGCAAGCATACTACTAACTCGAATATGCCGACCCACCGCGGCGAGAAATTCCACCAACCCCAGTCCATCTAACCAGTCTGCATTGGTTTTCAATTCGCTCTTTCTAAAGTTTTCCTGGTTATACCCTTTTGAAAAGGCATATGATCGGCCCTTCTCAAAGAATTTCTCAATATGAGCCCATAAACCGTCAAAGGATTCATCATGTCTCGGTGATGCAATTGCGTCGTGCTCTACCACTCTACCAGAAGGATCCCCGACAGAAGCTGCAGATATACCAAGCTTCATAAACTATCCGCTTTGTCCTTTACAATATCAGGTAAGAGTAGATATACTAATGCTACAAGGTGGTATCCATGGAGATAAAAATCGAGTAGATTTATGGGTTGAAGTAGATGTCCGACATGTAATGAGGGGACAGTAGCATCAACCCCAGTGAAGGCTACTATAGGGCCTGATTCCACAAGCTTGTCGAATTGGCCGGCCGAGCTATAAACTCCAAAGCATATGTCAGAAACCTTACTTCCCGAGAAGCCAAAGCTAGCAGAGCTGCATCGTCAGCTGAATAGCACCCTAAACAAGATTCCTATATAATGTCACCCTAGGTGGCGAGCTTTGAGCACAACAAGCAGCCATCGATTATCGGCCAGTCGCTGGCGGGCTACATGCCTCAAACCATAGTTTATGGAATACTGTAAGAGGGTGCCAAGGTGGTCGCGAAAGCCTCTGTACGGGAACGCTGGGTAAGTCGTTTAGCGCTCAGAGTGCTTACCCAACCATCTCACTTTCTAGACGAGACCTCGCTCCTCTTAGTTCTTTACCAAAGGTGAAGAAGATGAGTGGTTTTAATTGTAGTAATCTCTTTCCGCAAGAATGCGGAAAGACGGGATGGAGTAGCTTTCGTCTTGCACCTCCTCCAAGCAGAATTCCCGACAATGCTCTCATTTTCAACAGAGATGAAGCTAAGTGGGACCACTGCAATCGTAGGAATCCTGGATCTCTTTTCGAAGGCGCTTCTCAGAATGGTAGAGCGACCGAAGATACTCCTGATGCTTACTCCCAGTGGACTTGGTTGTCCCGAGCTGTGGGCTGCTGGCGAAACTTGGATGTCGGGGGAGGCTGTATCCAAGTACAAGTACAAGGTTCACACTATGGAAAGAGCAGAAAGAAGAAGCGGAGAGGAATCGATGGCCTAGACAAGGCATGTGACTATTATCGGCAATCGGCAATCGGCCGCCCCCATGCATCCTGCCCGTAAGGGTTAGGGTTATTCGACAGCTGCAGCAGTTGCAGGTTGCTACGATACCTGGTTAAGTTACGTGCACCCCAGTGAAATCTACATAAACTACGCAAGCTCTGTCAACTTCTTTTTCCATCACTTCAACCGCTGCGGCAGCCCCACCTCATCATGGCCACACAAATCCTCGCACAAATCCACAAGGCGTTTGAGACTCGCACCTGCGAGTTTCTTACTTCCTCAATGCTTGGTTCAACCCTGTCCAGCGAAATTCTCGAGGTGTTTAAAACTCACACCTGTGAGTTTCTTACGTTCTCAAAGCTTGATCCAACCCTGTCCACCGAAATTCTCGATAACCTTCCCTCTTGGGAGGATCTCCGTGGCCTTGGCTTGAGGTGAGTACAAGTGCCAGGGATAAAGATTTCGTACACAACAGTGATTATTTTACGGGTTAACCTAAATTAACTTTTCGGATACTTTATCTCTATGTCTTGTATATATCCAGTGCTAGGAAGAACATTCTAACTATTACTAGAATTCACTTTATTGCCTCCGACGGGTACCTCCGTATTGTCATGGCGAGTCGCCTGCATGAGGTCCCTGTAACCTGGATGAGAACTGAGTACGGTTCCTGGATCGTCTATGGCCTCTTGTCCCCAAGCGCTCATCACTTGATAGGCGATGGGTTAAGTTGTATGTCCCTTTGCTCTGCCGTCTGAAACTCCATTTTCCATAGTAATAATTGAATAGCATATGATAACTTTGTTGGTGCCTTCGCGGGCTCTAAAAAGACGGCGGACCTCAGCTGGAGCCCTCGCATTAATGATGGAGAGTTGACCGAGTTTCCAACGATCGTCCTGGAGTCCGGGTGGAGCGAGTCACAGGCCCAGTTAGAACGTGACAGCCAATTGTGGTTCCAAGGGTCTGCTGGGGCTGTGAAGGTCGTTCTGTTGTTTAAATTCTTCAGTGCGAATATACACAACGAAATTAAGGCCACTCTAACCGTCAGCCGGTTTGCGGACAACGCACTAGTTATGGATTCATACGCATGCTCTTCCCTTCCCTACCCTATCTTTATCTTTCTTACATCCTACTAACCAACCCCATGATCTTGCAGGCAATCTTCCCCCCCCCCTGCTGAGCCCGATCAAGATCCCTGTATCACAGTAGACGAGCTTTTTGGGGGCAGATATCCCATTGGCCAAAATCCCCAGACCCTTTTTCCGTTGTCTTTGCCGCGACTTCGCCGTTTAGCTGAAAAAGAGATCCGTAAGCAGCGGTATATCCCAATGGGAAACTGAGTACACATAAAAATTAAATTTATCTCCTACTCTTTCGCCTTGTTTTTATCTGTTCGTTGCCCGTTGTCCCCGCAGATAGTGCGAGTTTTATCTCTTCTCTCGATCCCTTTGCATAAAAGTTCAATTCATAATCTTACTCTCCCAATTCCAGGGGCCTCGCATGTGTATCCAGATCGGCTACTATTTTTCTCCATTACTCTGTGCAAGCATGGGTAGTGTAAACCTTCTCCCTCAATGGATTCCCACTGAGAGCTATGAAGCGCCTTTCTTCCTCCAGCACTAGATCGGCAAGTGGTTCTTGGCGAGCCTGTACCAAGTTACTGTTCTGATATTGTATTTGATTTTATGGTACGCTACCTAAACCCACCACTCCAAAGCCGAATTCCATCTTAAATTAGTTGTAGCTAGCGCACAAAAGCACGGAGAGAACATATGATGAAAGTAATGTCCCGGGTTCCCTCAGACGGGATGGTCAAGTCCCTTGGATACATCACCGCCCCCCCCCCCGCTCCGAAGAAGCGTGCCACACCACCACCTATATGGACGATACATCCTCTCGACGCCATGCGCTGCACCACCGGATGACAATCAATCAATCAATCACCCAACGCGCACTATGCGCGTGATTCTCCATGAATTTACAACCAGACACCAACCTCATTCCCAAGACACCTCCCAAGAACACACACTCTCCCACGCCCTAAACTACTTCTCCCCACTGCCTCCCCCTCCGCCTGTGGCCATAGCTGCCTTGACCTACTCCGCAAGTTTCCCGTATGGATCGCACACCTTTGCATACTTGTCCAGAAACAGCTTTGTCACTCCCCTCTGCCTGGAGTTTGAGGGTGAGGCACTTGTGTTCAGGACCCACCCGCCCAATTCATCGACTGTGAACCCGCCCAGGTCCTCTATGCAATTCTACGGCAAAAGGTTGAGTTTCAAGAGCTTGCGGTATACGCTGGAGAATATTAGGGCATCGCAGAGGGGGTCCGGTGGTGATAAGACACATTGGTGGGAGTGGTGGGGGGATGGTGGCGAGGGGGTGGAAGAAGAACGAGAAGAAGAAGAAGCGGCAGGGGGTTGGTAGCGGTTGAAGAGGGTTGTGAAAACCAATTTTAAGGTGGCGAGGAGGTGAGCGCCATGGATTATTATCACTTCTCCAAGTAACAATATTATTATCATAATTATTCATTAGCCTCTGCTGGAGCCGGCTGGTTGACTAGTTGGTTCAGGTATTGGGGGAAGACTGTTATACTTATGATAACACAGTCTCCGTCAGAGACTCCCCGAACCGACCACTACCACCCCCGCCCTTCCTCTCCTCAAATACCGGAACCCGATCCATACCACCCCCAACCCTCTGGACGCACACCTCCAACACTACCCTCGCAAACAGCTTTGCGAAAATCTCCCCCACGCCCCACGCCCACGCCACGAACAGCCACTCCTCGGACCCGGGCCTCTCGGCCCTGGGCGTCCAACCCTTCATCCACTTGTCGCCGTACATTCTCATGGCCGGCCAGCAGTCCTACTTGTCCACCACGACGGCCATCATGACCAGCTGCCCGAACGTCAGCCACTGGGGAACGGATGGGTGGTGTGCAGGGCTCTCAGCAGGATGCAGAGTGCCACGGGGTTGTCATGGTAGAGCTTTGGCAAAAATGGCTCGGTCGAGGAGTAGGGGTTGGGAGAGATGTTGAAGCGCTGGGCTTCGGAGAATGGTGAAGTGGGGCTTAGCATTGCCGGGAAGACCTTTGACGTGGTGATAAGCACGCTCGCGGAGCCTCCGTAGTGCAGTGTGTGCGTGGGTGTGAGTAGGCGGAGGAGTATGTCCCCCACTGGGGAGATTATCATTGCCTCGCGGGGGGTTGTATGCTTGCCCTTCTCTCTTTGGTCTCCCTCTATGCTAATAAGCTTGGGCGAACACCTGCAAAACTTTCTCAGACATCTTGAGTTCGAAAATAATGTAGAAATGCATAGCCGAGCCTGCGTAGACCGACCTAGGTGGTCTTAATAGAAGTTAATGACGGAGCCTGGCTACCCAGTTCCGTGATTCAACCTAGCCGAGGCGGAAGAACTGCGAAAGTGGACCGCGAACCGAGGGCCTCACCCGTTGAATTACTCCCTGCCGCAGCCTACCCTAATTCTCTTCCTAACGAACCTCGGACACAATTAAATAACGCCTCCACAAGCCCCGCTTGCCTGTACCGGAAACACTGACCAAGCGAGAGAGAATGCGTGGAGAAATGGAGGATGTAATTGCGGTGGGGGAACTGCTGGCGATGATGTTTTTGTTGGGTATGCGACACCGGATATCATTGAGGTTGGCAATAGGCCGCCTGCAAGCAAGTACCACTCTCAAACGGAACCTCAACCATGGTAGTTAGCATTCTGGCGGCATCGATGATAACCACCGACTTGAGCACCGACAACCCACAAATGTCGCAACGCAAATCCGGGCAATTCTAATTTACCCACCCATAGCCCCCTGTCTCCCCCCTGACGGACCTTCCTTGGGTTGTGCATTCCTTGAACACATCCTTCCAACGAACACCACGCCCTATAAGGAATTAATCCCACCTGTTGGCCGTACACCCCCCCCGCCTGGAGGAGCAACCCAACTCCCGCTTGCAGAACCTCGGTGCGAGTATTCTACACCGACAGCACACCAACAAACTCAACCCCTAGAGACACCTCTACCCTCAGCCCCATTATCGGCAGCATGGCGACACGGAAGCATTACTGTCGCCCACTGAGGTTATTGCGCACCATGCAGCAGCTGTTGAAAACTGAAGTTGACTTTAAATAAAGTCGTATTCAATCTTGTATTCAGTTTGATCAAATAACAACAACAAAACAAAGACTATATATATACAAACATCCAAGTTCAGCACAGCCATCATTCCATACCAGCCTTCATTCCCAAGCCACTGATTCCCAATCAGAGAATGCAAGCCCACGGCTTTTGAGTTCATTCCTGACCCAGGAATGAAATCTACCAGTCACTCAGTATGCGTAGTGCATTCCAGACAACACTCCCATCCTTCCTTGTATGCCAGCACAGTATAAGGAAGAACATAAAAAACAGAGAAAACATAGTAACCTTGGTTGGCCTCATTAAAAACCTGTCAGAATTTTTGTGATTAGGGAAAAAGAGTACTGCCATACAGGCAAAGAAATAAAGGGGAAAAGGAAAATAATCTAGAGGGCCATCCAATTTCTAATCCACAAATCTCAGTCTACCTTGAGTAGACCCAACCGTGTAGTGTGTTTCCAATGAGTATGGCGTGGAAGTAATTTTGTAAGAATGTCAGCTGTTTCTTGGGTGGTTGGTATATAGTTCAGTTCGATACTTCCATCCTTGCAAGATGTACGGACAAAGTGGTATTTAATACCAAAGTGTTTTGTTCTCTCATAGAACATCAGATTCTGTGTGATATCTATTGCTCCTTGGTTATCATAGGAAATTATAAGAGGTTGGGATACTTCTCCAGTAATTTCCTCATATAGACACTTTGTCCATATCCCTTCTCTTGCAGCCTGTGAATACCCAATGTACTTGTTAGGGGGTAGGTAACTCTAAAGTCAAGCGAGTATACTCTAGGCCCTGTAATCTTCTATCATAGAGATAGTCAGGAAGGCTCGTAAAGATAGAAGTAAGATAGAATGAATATATTAATAAGATCTCTTCTCTAGTGGCTGATGATAGACTTGAAGCTGGGGATTTGTTTTTTTTTTTGTTTGACTCATTGATTATTTGTTTAGGGTACAAAAAAGGTATGGAGCACTAGCTATGACGACAAAAAACCCATATCCCTCCTCTCACCAGAGGAAAAAGCCAACCCCCCAAGCCCCTCTAGTATGGAGTCAACCGCACATCTCACCTCAAAGAAAAGAAACCCAAGCCCAGCTAGATGGACAAACAAGGAAATCCTAACTAAGAACAAAGCAGGAAGGGCCAGGAAAACCCAGTGAGAAATCCCAAAAAGACAAAAGAAAGGTTAGTAGCAAGCCACGTAGGGCCCCGAAGGCGAGTCCACTCATCCAAGCGGGAAGCGACGCCCGAAGTGCGCTAAGATATGGGGCCCCCCCCCAGACGCACTCCAAGGAGACAGTGCAATACCATGGAGGGAAGGAGGAGACCAGCCGGCCGTGGGCGATAACTGGGGGGAGGGGAAGATGTAGCAATAGGGTGCCAGCCGATCGGACCGTCGGGAGAAGAGAATGGAGGGGTAGACCCAAAGACCTTAAACATCATCTATTGGTAATCGCGTTCGTGTCGGACTAGGCAGCCTCTTAGGGGAACAAGAGAATGGGGATATCGACCGTAGCCTGTTGCCTGTTCTCCCCTACTGCAACTGTAGTCTCGGCCGTCTGACAATGATGCTGGTTAAGGAGTTGCCGACCATGAGAAGGCTAAGCGAGGCCAACATAGGAGGAGGAGAGGACTCCCCAGCACGCATGGGGGGAGGAGGAAGGAGGAGTAAGGAAGATCATCAACGGCCGCCTAGGCAAAGTATAGCAGGTGTTTTACCGCATCTCTCATGTAGTCCCTTGTTCTGGGAGAGATAGCCTCACTGTAGTGAAAGGGATCCCACCACCTGCCAGTCAGCCAAGGAGGGCCTCCCACCGACCAACCCTCAGGGAGAGAGAGGTCCCTACGATGGTAGACCGAAGTCAATACCCCGGGTGTGAGAGGACAGAAGAGCCAGACTCCCCTAGGCTGAGGCCAAAGGCAGGAGTGGGCGGGAGGGTGGAGAAAGATTTGTGACGAAACAAAAAACTCACGATAAAAACTGTGGTGTTGAGTTTTCAATCGCCGGAGGTGTAGGGGAGACGGAGGATGGACTTGAAGCTAGGGAGGTACCTCGATATTTATATTCCGCGTCTGGGTGGTCATGCGCTACATCCAATTCTTTACTGACTATGTACCTGCCATACTAACGAATCAGTGTCCTTAGAGTGCGAACTCTGTTTGACCCTGAAAAGTAACTTCCCTGCTCTCCTTCCAAGTGGAGTGATCATCTCTGTCAAAGGAGTTCTCAATGACTCTGCCCTGAGCATAGCTTAGAGTGCATGATGAAGATAACTAACTCGACTAGTCCGTTGTTATTAACCAATTGTAAACCAGTTTCTGGATGCCTCTGGTTTACGCGAGCAGAGGATGGTGTGGCTACTTCTTGGAATAGTAACACCAAGACTTCCAGAGGTCATAGTTCAATCACTAAGCAACCAATCTGATTCAACTAAGTCTTTTCATACAGAGCGGAGCTCCCTCTATGTTGTCCAGCGAAAACCCCTCCGTTCACTTATCTTATCCCATGAATGGTGAAAGGGTAAAGACTTGTATAATGCCTTATCATTTTGTGCAGTAATATGATACCGTCACCATAACTGCGGCAGGGGCCAGAGTCGAGCACATGTCCTTATGCATTTAGTCACATGCCGCACTGATTACGCTTCCATGTGTAATATTAGGTCCCTCCTCTTCTAGACTCGTCCTCGAGTCTTTTCTTTGATTATAATCTATATATGGTATATTCTATAGTTTTAAAGAAAGTTTTCCATTTAGGACTCCATCCAGGTAGGGTAAAAAACCTTTGCGTGTTTACTTGTCCATGCCAAGGAAACCCTTTCCTGATAATCCTACTTCAGCCATGGTATTTTCGGATTATCTCTATAAAATTCCTCCACTAGGTCGGCAGCATGTTCAAGATGCTCTGGCAGTTCCTAGGTGTTTTCATCCTCTGAATACCCTATCCATTTAACAAAATATTTGAGTTCTCTGACGAGCTTGTTGCGTCTAGAGACTCGTTTCATCTAGGAGAGAATCTCACTTTTGACGATTTTCTCTACCACCCATTCTAGATCACCAATGATCTCGTCTGGTGCCTGGGGCTTCTGTTCCATTTCTTATCGAACCAATGTTTGATAGGGTTCGAGTAGTGACACATGGGATATGGGGTGTACTTTTTACTGCTCAGAAATCTGCAACTTAAAAGCTCGATCACCTCTTTTCTCGAGTATTCGGAATAGTCTATAGAGCTTTGGGCTCAGCTTGTTAGATGGGCATTTAGTCCGAATATTCTTCATGTTGAGGATCACTCGATCTCCAACCTGGAAGTCTGGTTGTTGTTTAGCTTTTGGATTGTAGTATTTGCTCATGGCTTCTCGGGTGAGTTGTAGGGTGTCTCTGGCTTGGTGGTGTATTTCTTTCATCTAGGAAGCATAAGATGTTGCTCTTGGATTCCGTACTTCTCTGTCTTTCATCCACTCCGTTTGCGGATGATATCTGTAGTTTGCGTAGAATAGGGTTAAATAGTGCGCTTAGGTTACTGAGTTGTTGTAAGTGTGCTTAGCTAAGGAGAGTAATGAATACCAATCGTCCTCGTAGTTGACAAAACCTCGTAAATAGCCTTCCAGCACTTGGTTGGTTCTTTCGGTTTGTCTGTCAGTCTGCAGGTAGTAGGTGGTTGACATTCTTCTTTTTATTCCTAACGATGCACATAATGATTTGCAGAATTCTCCTGCAAACCTTGCATCCATGACTGACACAATTACAATAGGCAACCCGTGAAGTTTTCAAACTGCTCACATGAATGCGGTTGCCACATGCTTAGCCCTAGCGGTCCCGGGTAGGAGGAGAAAGTGGGCCATTTTGGTAAATCGATTGACTACAACCATGATTTGAGTGTTGTTACACATAATAGCGTAATCGGTGCGGC